TGTAAAAAAATCAAATCTTCTAGTTAACGTAAACAAAAAACAGAATATCGATCCCGTTTATTCCGACAAAAAAAATACATACCAAATGCGTCTCAAAATAAGTGGCTCACCTATATAATTTTTTATTTTTTACATAAAACCAAAGAATTTGGTATGTTTAGTATAGTGAAATGAATCATAGTCAGCAACTATTCTCAATTATGTCAGGATTGGTATTTTTCGGCAGTTTTTTAGGACTCTATTCGATAGAAAATAGCAACACTAAAGGATCGGGCTGAATGAAATGAACATATCAGCATGTCACTTTTTAAATTTTCGCTAATATGGTTTATTTTGAAATTCGTAACATGCGTCATAAACTAGTGATAGGGAAAAACCGATTATTTCAATAATCGAGTACTCGAGTTACAAGCGATTTCAATAACCGAGTGACTCACGCTACGATCGCGAAAAATACACTACGATGATCTTGATGAACATTACGGGTATTTCTTAAAACCTGTCGCTTGTTGTATAAGTACTCGTTAACGCCAAGCAAACTCAAGCTGTAAGTTGCGTGCGCAGGCACATATTCTTTCGGTGATGAATGGCAAGTAGCGATTCGCTTGATCGCTTTCGCTTGATTTAGTTTATTTCCAAAGACATTATCGATGTAAGTGATGCGTAAAATTTTGTCTCTGTTGCGTAACTCAACGGATAAATATATATAACGGCGTCGTATAAATTTGATATCTGTAATGTATGTAGAAAATTCGCTCGCTTTTGTATCGAGTTATTGTCACATTAAATCGGATTTCAATTTTATTTCATTCTAGATCGCTTGCTTTCGTCGCTTGGTAACTCGTCACTTGCATCGCTCGTAACTCGTCGCTTATTTGATGTCGGTTATTTCAATCAATCGAGTAAACTCGATGCGAAATATTTCAGCATCGAGTAATCCCATCACATGTTCATCAGAAACGACAATCTTGGACTTCGAATACCAAGTGTGTAGTATCAAACTCTTCGTAAAAAACATGATTTATACAAGTATCGCTAAATGAGCCACCTCGTTCCATTAAAAAAATTGAGATATTATTAAAAAAAGATTTGGTCATCTTTAACCGACCCATGCAACCATCTATTTTTCCAAGCTCCCTTGATTAAAAATTAGTGGTTTTAACACAGCCACGACACTCTAGATTCAAATTTAAAATACAACTTTTTTTAAGCGAGACTGTCAAAAGATATTAACATATTATATGTCATTCTATTCAGAGTGTCATTTTCTATCGGATAAAGTAAAAAATAACAAGGTTGTCATTTAAAAATCTAAAGTTTCCGCCATTTCCGGTAAAAATCGAATAAAGTAAAAAAAAATCCGAGGGTGCCATTTAAAAATCAAAAGTTGTAGCTATTTCTGATGAAACAGCAAGTGACCGAAAACAATTGAATACGCCAATCAGTCCTAATTTATGTCATATACTAGCATACCAAATCTCGTTTTTTATCTAAAAAAAATAAAAAAAGTTATAGGGGTGAGCCACTTTTGAGACGCACCCGGTATATTTTGACACTCTCAAGGGAATCGGAATTTATAGAATATTTTTTTTCGTTGACCTAGAACTATGAAATTTGTCAAATAATACCGTATTACAGGTATTACACTACAACTACAGGTAAAAAAATTTTCATTTGTAATAACTAATCATAAGAAATATAGTGTTTATTTAAAATACGCAATCAATCATCGAGGATAAGGAACTACGGTATGTGCGATCATAATTGTATGGGTGACCAAATAATTTTGTAGATTTTTTTACTTTTACTAATTCGTACAGAGGAGAAAAAAATTAAAACCGTATACTTTTGATTAAATCACAAAAAAAAACAGGGTCTTGACGCATGGAACAGCGCGGCAGCAGCGCGCAGCAGTGGTCCAAATTTTGAATTGAATGAACCGTGTCATGTGGGATATCGTATGAAAGGGTTTTATAGGCTTGGTGCATTTCAGTTGATTTCAACAAATTCCGACCGCAGCGCACTCTACGGCTGAAATCAGAAATGATCCACAATATAGTTCACGCCGCCTATACACGCGTCATGTCGATCGCATTAAAATAATATTGAAATTGGGGTTTTGTCATAAAGGTGCCATTACACGGCGTGTGGCTTGCCGATCCACGCGCCTGGCGCGCGAATCGCCGAGCCAGGACACGCCAAGACGCGCCGCCTATACGCGCCAATGCGTATTTTCGCATTTGCGATCTCACGACCGACCGAGAGTCAGAGACAAAAAATACATTATATAACTTTTTAACATCGGCTATCGGTTTAAATGGGCTCTTTCACAAAAAATAAAATACCCAATTGCAAGGAACAAATTCGAAAATAGAAGACTAAATTTTCAGTATATTTATCCAAAAAAAAACAGTTCCAATGACTGAATAAATTTTTTTATAACGTCACAAAATTGCTTCTATATTGAAATAATTTTTTAAAGCGCCAATTGACGACGTATGAAAAATACGCACAATCACATTGCAGAACCAGTGCTCGTGCGACAGCCAACTACTGGCAACATTGCGATTGGATTTGACCAGCACCACCTCAACTCAAGCCAATCAACATGATATAGGCAAGGCAAATATGGCGGCGAAGGCACCGCATTATTAAATTGTTTACGCCTGAAAGC